TAAACAAGCTGAAATATCGTAAGTGTCTTCAAGCAGAGTCTCAGCCTCAGGGTTAAAATTGATCTGGGAGTTAGACCATCTGAGTTCACATCCTGTCTCTACCATTTTGAGCTGTGTGGCCTCCGGTCAACAACTTAACCCCTCTGTGCCTCAGTTTCTACTGTGGTAAACATTTTGACAATACACTTCAAGGGGTTGCTCTGAAGATTGGAAGAATTATAACAAACAGCCCACTTGGGACATGCAGAGCTCTCATTCATAATTATTATCAGCAGCAAAGTCTAAAAACAGAAAATTCTGTAGATCCTACCTTGCTAATTGTGCAAGTTAGTTTTGCTTTTTAAAAAACTGATCTTATTATTTGCACTTCATGGATGTACCCACATGTTCTTTCCTTTCCTCATCTCCACGGTAAGATCACCCTGAACCAAGCTGTGAAACCTTTGAAGAAAAAGATCCACTGTTCTGGAAACTTCTACCTCATACAGCCACTTAGAAATTCTTAAGGTAGCAGAGCAAGGCCAGTCACACAGGCGTCTCACTCTGCGGCCACATGGTCTCTGGCGCAGCTGCTCTGTTCTGTATACAAGAACAGTGGGCAGTGGCCATGGAGGAGACAGACCCTGGGTGTGGTTATGTTGGACAAAGCTGGGGACGAGAATGTGCCTCCCCAGGACCCCAGGGCCACTGAGCTGGAGACGAGGAAGCCGCAGACCAAGGGCTCTCGGCCCTCCCCCATCTGCCTCCAGGCAGGACATGGATTTACCAAGGCACAAGGGGCCTGCCCTTCTCTGCCAGGGAGAGCGAAGGTTAATGGGGACAGGGCTTCAGCCCCTGGGGGCCAGGGGAGGGGACCAGAGGAAGCTCGACACAGACCCACGGCCACCTGCAGCCGCCACCTCTGGAGGCCCAGGGGTTCCTTTTGGGATTCTCTAAATACCCCAGTCCTCCCTGCAAGTTGCTCGCCTTGTTTAAGCAGGAGGAGGTGACACTGAAAGGATGGGGACCAGAAATAGGTTCAGAAGTCAGGCATGATGCAGCCCCAAGAGCCTTTCCTACAAATTTGGGTCAAAGACTCCTTGCAGAAGCACAGATGGGAAAACGGGGCCGTTTGGTGTTGAGTGTCCACTCCAGACAAAAACAGACCAGTTGGTCAGCACAGCTATGCTTGGAGTCAGAACCAGACAGGAAACCCTCCCAGGAGGATGGATACGGACAACATCTTCATGACATCCCTGCAACGGACACGGTGGGTGTCGTGGGGCTGGCACAGGTAAGGACCCTCCATCCCTACGATGGCAACCCTCTCAGGCTGCTTTGTGAAATCCATTCTGGGCCGCGGGAAGCGAGGCATATCTGGGTGCTGTGATCCAAGAATAGATTTTCAAGCCTTGGGAACAGCAGACAAGCCCCCCAAGCCCTCCTCACACCATAGACACCTGGAAACCAGACGGAAGGAGAGCAGGACAGCCCTCCCAGGCGAGGAAGCCCGAGGTGCTGGTTCCACACGCTGCACCTGGACGCAGCCCTGACCTCTGAGCCTCGTCAGCACTAGGGCTGGGGCGGGGATGCCTTGTTTTGGGGGAAAGGCCAGGAGATGAGCTGGGCTTGCCCTGGTCTGACCACCTATCCCAGGGGGCTTCTCGGCCTGATTGCTTCTTGCCCTTCTGAGCAGCTCAGAGCATTCCACAGCCTTCCTGGGCCCAGCCTGTGGCCATCCAGGTAGATGGCAAAGAACCTTGACAGGCCCTGCCCAGGCGGGGACATGGAAGGGCCTTTAAGAATTCTGAACTGAAAGAGGCAGCAGGAACTCCTGCCCCCCAGGAAGCCAAAGTCCTGCCCATCTCCCATGCCCAACATGCCACCCTATGTCGACTCTGACTCCCCATGGGTCCCACAGAGAGGCTGTGTGGTGCACGGGGCCCAGCTCCTAGCCCAGGCTGGTGCTGCTGGCAGCTGCCCACCTGACCGTGCTTGGCCTCGGGGGAGAGGCCCGGGTTGCTGGCCTGGTCTGTGCGGGGGGCCTCGGCTGGGAAGCGGCAGAGCTAGGTTCTGGAAGGAAGGCGACAGGGCACATGGACTCCCAGAGCCCGCCCAGGGGGCATGAGCTGGGGTGCACTGTGGACCCCACCCACAGCAAGGCCTCCAGAGCATGGCTGAGAAGCACCAGAGGCCACCAACTGCCCAGCCTCGTCCCCAGCCCCCTTGGGTGCTGGACATGCCTGGGGTCGTCCTGTCCTCAGTCTGCAACTGGGGCTTCCCTAGTGTGGGGGAGCACCAGGTGGCCCACCCTGCTACTCCACATGCCTGCTTGCCTGTGGCTGCCAGCGAGGGGCTCCAGGGAGGTCTTCCTAGGAGCACAGGTCCCCATGGAAGAAGGGGCCATTGCCAGTGTGCAGCATGGACCCAGAGCTCAGTCCTTGGCCTCAGCACCCCACGCAGGCACGTGGCGAGTCTGCCCAGCTCTGAGCCTGGCTCCCTCTCCCTGGTGTTCTGCTGCTGCGGCTCCACAGGGTCCCTCAGATCTGCTGGGAACTGCTTGACCTGGGCACAGTGTCTTTTGCTTAAACCTCAGGTGGGGACACGTGGCTACTTGGCCAAGATTGGTCCAATGAAGTAGCTGCTGCACCCTCGGCCTGATCATGTCTGGCTTCCAAATTCACAGTACATCCGAGTCAGGTATTTATTAAATTGCTGGCCTTCATTGGGAGGAACTGCTGGGGTCCCAGAACCTCTGCGCGCTGCGCCTGGATACAGATAACCTCTGCCCCCACTGTGGTCAGATGGTAATTCACTGGGCTAACTAACCCTGCCCAGCTCTGCCATCTGCTTCCCCAGGGGCCCCAAGCCCAGTGCCTTATAGGAAGCTTGCACTGCTAGAGAGGGTGCAGGGTCAGACCTGGCCTAGTCCGTCCTGCTCCCTGGTGCCCACTTGCAGGCTCTCCCAGACCCGGCTCCCTTCTGTCTTAGATACGGCTCTCATCCTAGTGGGCTGCCCATCCGTAGCACACGCCCTCCACACCCCTTGCTGGTGATTTGCATTGTAGGTCTTGGCCTTTCCCAGATAATCTATGGACTGGGTTGGACAGCAGAACTCATGTCCTTCCTGAACCTGAATGCGAGGGTTGCGCAGATGTGCCTAACTAGATGAGGTTCACACTGGGGCAGGGTGGCCCTGAATCCAGAACAATCTTATAAGGAGAGGACAGAGACAGAGAGAGCACCGCGTGGTGGTAGAAGCAGAGATCTGGGTGGCGCGTCTCCAAGCCAAGGAGTGCTAGGGATCACCAGCAGCACCCAAGCTGGCAGAGGGGCATGGCGCACACCCTGCCCTAGTCCCTTCAGAGGGAGGGTGGCCCTGCCCACGCCTCCATCTCAGACCCATGGCTCTGGAACACTAGAGAATACATTTCAATTGCTCTAACCCCACCCCCACTTGTGATGCTTTGTTGCAGCAGAACAGGTAACAGAAGACAACCTGCTTCTGTTGTATCTAAAACAGCGTGGAGGCCACCTGACAAGGACCTGGTCTGCTGTCCCCTCCACATAGAGCTGGCACATGGTGAAATGCCATCTGCAGGCTCCATCCATGATCCAACCAACCAGGGACCCCAAATAATTTTTACTTGTCTGGACTGAGTAGGCACAGACTTACCCCTCGCCATTGTTCCCTAAGTAACACAGCAACTATCTACACAGCATTTATGTTGTATTAGAGGTTATAAGTAATCTAGAGATGACACAGAGCACACAAGAGGATGTGCACAGGTGTGCAGGCACGACCTTACTTTATAAAGGGACCTGAGCAGCCTCAGATTGCCGTTTCTGTAGGTGGTCCTGGAACCAGTCCCCCACAGACACCCAGGGACGACTACATGTGAGGATTTCAGAATGCCGTCCAGGAGGCTGGAAACGTTCCCTGGAGCATCATGACACAGTGCTAGAACACTCTCTCCCTACCGCGCTTTGGACTTGGAGCTCCCAACCAATCCCCCGGATTGCATCTGTCTGAAGAGCCCCCTCCTGGTCACGCCTGTACCTCCTCAATCCCAGCACACCTGTTACAGCTGGGTTCATGAAGAGGAGCAGAGCTGCCACTGTGGCTTTAGGGGTCTGAGGAACAGTACCCCTCCTGCCACACACACAAGACAAAGTGAAGAAGAGAGCAGGGACCCCTTCTTCCCTTGCCTATAACTTGGGAACACCGAGACTCCACGCTGGCCTTGCTCCCTCCTGAGGTCCCTGCAGTGCACCTGCTACCCAAGAGGAGGAACCCAGACCACTGACGCTCAAGGGCAAGCTCATTCTCACTCAGCACCTTCCCCAGTGCGGATGTTCTAAGTCAGCCTAGGCTCTGGGAGGGGCAGGCGCAGGATGGAGGAGACAAGCTCCATCCGCCTGGCAGCTGACCTTGTATCTTCTGCATTATGATCCTACCTAAGGTCAGCCCAGCCCGGGCTGCTAAAATGAGAGCATTTTACCTTCCGCTCACAAATACTCCTGAGTCGAAGGGACGCTCTCCAACACACTTTTCCTTCCAGTTTCTCTAGCAAATCCATGCCTGTCTCCCACCGCACCAAGCTGAGAAAGTCAGGATCCACCAGAAACGGTCCAAAGCCGCCCAGCACCAAACCATACAGGTGAGAGCCATATCAGTGGGCTTCTGGCCCTGGGTGTGGGCCTAGGCGTAGTGCCACCCTGCAGTGTCCAGAGAAGGCTGAAGGCAAACGTGGGACCCTACAAGTCAGACTGTGAGCCTTGGGCGAGTTCCCGCTCACCTGCAGAGCATGCCATGTTGGAAGGTGAGAGTGGGCAGAAAAGGACAGGTGGAAACAGATGTTCTGAAGAAAGATTAGCTGGGGGGCAGACCCGCCTGCGTGCACTCAGCACCGCCACTGACAGACACCGCGGGGCTCTGGTGACACTTGGCTGAGAGGCCGTTGTCGGGGACCTTGCCGGCAGCCCCGCCCCCACCTGAAACCAAAGCATCAGTGTCTTACTTTTTCTGGAGCGGGAGAAAAACCTGATGCCCCCGGGCGAGGTAGACGGGTTGGAGCTGGGTGAAGACTCTTTGGACGAGGAGCGGAAGATGCCGCTGAAGCTCATGCGCCGGGGAGAGCGGGGCGGGGACTCCTGGTAGGAGAACGGGAACACGGTCTTGGGAGAGCCAGGGCTGGTCTTGGGTCTCACGGGAGCCGACACAGGGCTGGAGGGCCGGGGCTGGGGTCCTCTGGAGAAGAGCCCTCTGGAGGGGCTGCCCGAGCTGAAGGGGCTGTCCACCTGCAGAAGGACAAACGGAGGACGTCACCAGGGCTCCAGGCACCCTGCCCTGTGCCAGGCCTGTCAGTGTCGTCTCTTCTTACTGAGCTGCCCGAGAAAAGGTCCTAAGCCCTTCTCGGGAGGTGGCCACCGACTGTGTGGAGGTCAGCACCCGACTGGGGACGGCCCACCCAGGCTGGGCAGCACCTTATCCTGGCAGTCCCCTGGAGGCTGAGGGCAGTGGAGAGGGCACCCAGGGATGTGGCTCCTCCCGGACCATCTGCAGGTCTGCCGCTGGCCTCTGCAGTCGAGGGCCTGTTTGTCCTCCTCAGGGCCAGACTGCCCAGGAATCCTCAGGGGAGGAAGCACCAAGCCCCGTGACACAGGACAGAGCGGGCCTGGGCTGCAGCTGGGGACCCCGGTGCTGGGAGCCGTCGAGCTTCCCGCCTGCAACCTGCCGTAGCATCTGCCTGACTGTGGGCGCTGACAGGTCAGGAAGGAAGCTGGCTAGGCCCCAGCTTCAGAGCCTTGCTTCTCTGTTGCCTTAAAATTGTCACTATGTTTTGAAAAACGATCCGACTCTGGGACCACCGAGTCTAAGCGAGACCCACAGCTCGCAGCCTCTGAGAACCCTTCAGGGATCCTGCTGGTGGGACAGGAGCTCGCGCCCTGCAGTCCCCGTGCCTGGGTCAGACCCCAGCCCCGCCCCTTCCTGTGCCCTGCTCCTTAGCCCGGCTGCCTCGGTTCCCTCCTCTGTGGAACAAGGTCAGTCCGTGGGACCGCAGGCTGCCAGCTGGGCCTCCCGGGGGACTCGCACAGCACTCGCCGGCAGTTATCATAGGATCATGCTAATCTCCTGCCGTCCTGCAGACCACAGCACCCCAGCACTCCCCAGTTCAGCAACGAGAAAGAACAGTAACCGTCCCAGGCTCGTTGGGGCAAGAATGAGACCCTGGGCATGCTGCGCTCTGGACACCAGAGCCGTGCTGTGAGGAGGGTCTGAGCTCAGGCTCAGAGCTGGACCCTGGTCCCAGCTGACCAGGGCCCCGGGAAGTTCTCCCACCACTAGAGGGCGCTCCCAAAATACAGCTTGTGGCCACCAACCCCCCAGAGGGTCCAGCCTCCCGGGATTCTCCATTGAACCCTGAAGAAGGACCACATAACCCAAGCCAGTCTCATCCTAAGTGCAAGGTTTTTTTTTTTGACTATTCAATATGAAAATTAGTTGTTTATCTGTCCATAGAGCATCCAGCTTAGCCACTTTCCCACCTACTGAGAATAAATTTTAGAAATGAGAGGTTCTTCAAGTGGTGGGTGGGCATATGGGCATGCAGCAGGAAGGGGTGGGGTGGAGGATCCTTGTCCTCAGTGGGGACACACATACAGGGAACCAAGGACGACGCTATCGCAAGATGCTCTGACCACTAAGGATGGGGTGGAGATGTGCGTTTGAGTCCTGGCTCAGTTTTAGCAGGGTAGACACACGGACAAGGGCTCTGAGCTCGCTCAGTCTGTGCCTCCTGTGTACAACAGGGATGCCAGGCCTGCTTTCTCAGGGTGCCAAGACAGTGGGGTGTGGCCCAAGTGAGGCCCCTGGCACAGTGCTTGGCACACCTGGGGTACCTGTGCAGCAACGCTGTGCATTTGGTACTAGTGGGCCTGGTGTGGACTCTCAGGTGGGGAGGGATTTGGAGGCTGGAAGAGGAGGAAGGACTGGGTTAGGAAAGATGCCCTGAGGGTGTCCCCAGCCAGGCAGTGATGCTGTTGGGTTGACCACTCTGAGGCCCTGCTAGGTCCCTCTTGCCATCACTGGGTGCCACTGAGCCCCATGCCAGAAAAGGTGCTGGCTGGGAGTGGGGGGGGGTCACAAAACTGGCAAGGGGAGGGTCTGACCTAGGGGCCTGCAGCCTTACCCTCACACCACACGCCTCGCCAAGCAAATGCTGTAGAAGCCGCTGGGACACAGGCGTGGGATGGAAGCGAAGTCCAGGTCGCGTGGCAGGGCCAAGGGAGAGTCCAGCCTGGGACCCCTGAAAGCCAGCTCACTGACTTCATCCTGCTCACCTCTGTCCTGCAATGTCCAGGGACTCTGCCAGGAAGGTGGGGGCACTGAGCAAATGCCAGCACCCAGCCCTGGGGGGGTGGGGACAAAGATGGACCGGGAAGTGGGGGCTCCCAAGGAGAAAATGGAGGGGGATGGACAAGACCCATAAACACGAAGCAGATGAAGGCTGTCCAGGGGAGCAGCCCACCTACACAGAGACCTGGTCAGAGGAGACCCTGGGGTTGGGTGGCTTTGGACAGGTGCTGGGCAAGACTGAGGTGGAGCCAGGAGGACCAGGGGATGGAGCGGGGGCTCTGAGACAGAGGGTCATATACACAGTCCCCCTGGCGCACTGAAAGTCAGCTTGAACCTCATGTGATGGGCAAGAGGGACCCTGAGGTCCCACTGAGTGGGACTCCATCCTGGATTCAGAATTCCAGGCCACAGAGCCAGGAACTCAGTCCTCAAAAGGGAAACCCAGAAAGCAGACCTTCCACACTGGTCTACAAATGGCCAATCGCCGTGGAGGCCAGGTCCTCCCCAGCCTCTCCTGCAGGGACCAGCAAGCAGAGCCGCACCCTCACCAGTGCGAGAACCGGAGGTTTGGGGGATGGAGGCCTTCTGCCTCTGGCAGGGGTGGTCAGGTGCAGCAGACATGCCTGCAGAAGCCACCAGGATGGCCTTGGCCCTTGCCACTGGTGTAGCCGCAACACAGCGGTACCTGATAAGTGTGGGGTGAGACTCCCATGTGTGTCTGGCTCTGCAGGTGCTAACGGAGAGGGGAAGCTCAGGCCTCTGCCTGGCAGAGCAGAGCTTCACAGCCTGCGCCATTGGTCATGCAGTCGCAGGGAGGAAGCTGGGGTGCAGGCCAGTCCCCCTGAGGCTCTTAGTGCTGCCTCCCTTCCACTCCGGGGAAGAGGAAGTGGTAGGTGCGAGCCTGAGGGAGTGGACCAAGGAGGGGCCCAGCAAGGGCCAGCTTCAGGACCATCCAGGGGGGACTGATCAGACGGGATGGAGGGAATGGCAGGGGAACGGTGCAGGGAGGGGAAGTAGGTCTCAAGTTGGGGGAGTCGGAGCCCGCCATGCTGAGGCACACGGAGGCCAGGCCCTCACGGTGGGGCAGCTGCGCCCTGAGTCCTAGGTCCTATGTGGGCCCAGAGTCAGGCTGGCCTTCTCAGGGGGAGGAGCAGAGAGGGGACCCCACAGCCAGCAGTGGGTAAAAGTGCCCAGTGAGCAGCTCCCTGCGAGTCGGGTACAGGCTGTGTGCACACACCCCTTCCTGGGTCTGCCGAGCGCAGGGTGCACTGACCACACCTGCACCCCACCCTGGGCCAGGCACAATCTGTGTCTGACCTCATGACCATTCCGTCCTCACAGCACAAGGTGAGCATGGCCACCACCCCAGCTGGCCCTGGGAGGTTAGGTTGCTAGAGTGGTGAACAGAGGAGCCAGCCATGGTCCCCGGATCAAGGCACAGACAGCGGAGGACCCGTGGTCATCTGTGTGTGTGTGTGGGGATGTCCTGGAGCCAAGCCAGGCTGGTTGACCAATGATGGCCGTGGCAATGACTGGGGCCCGGAGGTGCAGCTGCAGCCTCAGGCAGCAAAGCCGGGGTACCCATCCATGTGGGGGCTGCCAAACGGATACTTGGCCTTTCCAGTCACCACTGCCAGAGGGAAGGGTTCCCCAAGAGGCTGGGGTCTAGGCTATGAGCACAAAGATGCCGGGACCAGCTGAAAAGAGCAAGAAGTGGGACTGTCCAACTTAGGACACCTCCCTGAGAGGCCGTGTCGGACCAGCCTGAGGTTCAGGAATCCAGATGCAGTGTAACCACAGGCAACCTGGACTCTGGCCTGGCTCCATCTTGAAGTCCAGTTTCCTCATCTCTACATACGTGTGTGTGCTCCAAGGATCCCCAGGACCTTTGCACAAGCCTAGGAAGGAAGTTCCAGGAATAATGGAGATTAACATTTCCATCAACCTGATGGGATGGTGATGCAGAGTTGGATTTAAGTTAATCTAAGTAAAATTTAAGGAATGTGATCATGTCTTTGACATTAAGCTCACACTCAGCCCTCCTTGTGTTCATGGAAGTGATTGGGGCGTACCAGACACCTAATGAGGTTCCTGGGGCAGATGTCACAGCCTTCATCACTTTTGTCCTCCTCTTGTCCCCAGCTTTCCCCTCCTCAGGGATCTGGGCTCCCCACCACTACATAGACACGAAGGACCACCCTTCAGTGGAGACTGATGGGGGTCTCCTTCTCAGGGATATTTTCATTTTGAACGGGGCCACCCACATGAGGGGACAGAATGAGGCAGGGGAAGAGGCAAGCACTCCCCAGGCAGTTTGGAAATTCCTCTAGGCAGGCAGCCTCCTGCCTCTGGCTCCAGGAAGGCTGGCCTCGCGGGTCATGTGAACACCAGGTGCTGGAGTCGGATCAGAGTGGCCCTGCAGACCTTCCAGGGTCAGGAGGAAGGACCGTTGCCCTCTGGGGACGGGGCTGAGGTGGGCTGGGAGTGAGGCGGCCAATGTCCTGGCAGTAAAGGCAACAGTCCTAGCTTTCCTCCCTCTTCTCCAGTTGGTGTCAGCACAGACACTGTCCCTCTGAGGCCCTGTCCCCACACTGTAACAGGAGGCTGAGGTGCTCTGAGAGAGACGGGATGCTCTCCCTGTCGTGCAGCTTCTAGGTTCCGGCCTCAGCGTGTCGGACCTACACTACCTGCGCCGTCTCCTCGCCAGCCCGGACGACAGTGGTCAGGCCCTTGTCCTGGATCCACCTAGCGTCATCACTGGTGTCCGGCAAAGTTCCCAGGAAAGATCACGGGGAGGGAGGAGCCCCTTCCAGGGCCTTCCCTGCTCAGCTGCGATTCAACCCTGACAAGGACTTCACCCTGGACCTCGAGAGTCACCAAAAGGGGCCTGGTGGCCTGAGGGACACCCAACCCTTGGGGCCCTTCAGCTGCAGTCCCCTCCCTAGTGGGTTTTCATGGAAGGGAAGGGAGCCCTGAGCTTGGTGGCTCCTTCCTGCCACTGGGGCTCCCTCCCTGCTGGCCCAGTCCCTTCCCCGGCCAGGCCTGAGGCCGTTCCGACAGTCTTTTTTGGCGAGGCCACAATAACTGCTATACGTCTGCTGGCTGTATCAGGGCAGGGCCGGGCTGGGCAGGGCGGCCAAGCTGACGCCAATTAGTCCCACAGGCCTGAACCGATTTGTTGATTCAATTGTATGTAATGCAAAATGCTTAGAGAATAGATCGGCTTTTTCCAGTACTGGAACTCCTACCCTGCTCCCAGGCTGGCAGGCACAGCAGCCACGCCCAGACAGTGCAGAGGCCCCTCGCCAGCCCCCTGCAGCTACCTGCCACAGGGGTCTGAGGGTGGCAGGAGGGTGCCCTGCACAGCCCTCGGCCCACCTTCCCTTTCTGACTGCAGGAGAAGCCGGGCAGGCTGCCTTGACGCCCCTCCCTGCCAGGGCCACCCCACCCCGGCCGGGCACCCCTCAGCCGCCTGACCCTGACAGCCAGCAGCCTGGGAGACTGGCTTCCTAACGGGAGAGAATCAGCAGAGGGAAGGGCACAGCGATGAGCTAAAGACGGAATGTGGAAGGAGACAGAGGGGAGGAGAGCCCTGGGACACGGCATCCTGACCTTCCGGAGGCTTCGGACCTCCGCCTCGTTACTCGTACCCAGCACTTGGCTGGCTGCTGGTCTTCCCCTTTCTCCTCTGGTGGGGAGACTGTGGCTGCATCAGTGCAGAGCAGGGAGAAGAGGGAGGAGGGAAATCCCGCGCCTGTCGGGGGCCCTGCCAGGTGTGCGGTGAGCAGCCCTGGGACAGGGCAGGAGGCCTTACCTTCCGGGACGAATGCTTTTCGGAACTCTCCAGGTCTCCATCCAGGAGCGGCATGGCAAAGGAGCTCAGGTCCTGGGAGGGAAAGAGGTGCAAGGTCAACAAGAGCGGAGCAGCTCCACCCAGGTGCCACCTCCAGGAGTCCTCCTCCTGAGGGCCAGCAGCAAAGGAGGGACGGGGACGGTCACGGGTAGAGGGAGGAGGTGAAGAAGGCTAGCTGCCTCCCAAATGTGCCGCCGCTGCCCACATCCCTCCCAGAAGGTCAGGCCAGGTGTCCAGGAGCAGCCACTGCCTGCCAGCACCCCAGGGCAGGGGAAGGAAGAGACCAGGGACTGAAGGGACAGAAAGGCTGAGAGGCAAGGCAGGAAGGCAGAAGGAGTGGGGCACGAAAGTCCCCTCCAGGGGTGGCTTGGGCTGTGGCTGATGGACAGGCCTTAACCTCAGACCCAGAACACGAGGCTCCGTGAAGTGTCCAGGGGGCTGGAAGATGACGGGGCTGGGGAGGGGGCCTTGGAGCCAGTAAAAGCTGATGATGTGGTGGCCAGGGTGAGTGGGGTGGGCTCTGGGACAGACAGGTGCAGGCGGGGCATCACCAACCTGCACTTTCTAAAATGCAGGCATTGTTTGGCCCTGGCCCTGGTCCTGCATCTGGTCTTGGAGAACACATCCCACCAAGCAGAACCCCACCGGCCATCCTCAAGTCCAGGGGACACTGCATCTTTATTCTTTCTTTTGTACCTATTTAAAAATATTTAATTGTGAAATACACACAAGAAAATTTATCATCAAGCTTTTCGGGGTTTTTTGGTGCTGGGGATCCAGCCCAGGGCTAGTGCTGTACACGGAGCCACACCCCACCCTCATCTCACTGTTGTCAAGTGTGCCATGGAGTGGCACACCCACTCACACTGCTGTGCACCCACCACCATATCCATTTCTAGAACTTTCCACCTTCCCAAACGGAAGCTCCATACCCATGAAACACTCTGTTCCTCCCTCCCCCGGCTCCTGGCAACCACTGGTCCACGGTTTGTCTCTATGTCTGTGACTATTCTAGGTCCTTCATGTGAGTGAATCGTACAGGACTGTCCTCCTGTGACTGCCGTAGTGTGATGCTTCGAGGTCCATCCGTGTTGGAGCACGTGTCAGAAATGCCCTCCACTTAGGCCGATTGCTCTTCCTTTGCACTTATAGGCCACATTCAGTTTATTGGTCATCAGTCAGGGCCACTTGGGCTGCTTCGACCTTTTGGCTACTGTGAATCATGCTGCTGTGAACTTGAATGTTATGGGCTGAACCGTGTCCCCCTCCACCACCCAAAGTGCCTAGGTTGAAATCCTAACCTCTAGGACCTCAGAATGTGAATGCATTTGGAGGTAGGATCTGAGTTAAAATGAGGTCATCAGGGTGGGCCCTAATCCAACAGGACTGGTGTCCCTGTAAGAAGAGATGAGGAGACAGGCATGCCCAGAGGGGCCACTGTGTGATGACACAGGGAGGAGATGGCATGTATTAGCCGAGGAGAGAGCCCTTGGGAGGAACCAACCCTGTCCACATCGTGAGCTCGGGCCTCAGCCTCCAGGTTGTGAGAAAATGAGTTCCATCCTGGAAGCTGTCCCTGGTAGGTAGCCCTAGCAAGCTCTTCAGGACCAGCTGTGAGTCCTTTTGGGTAACGCAGAGTAGAACTACCGGGCACTGGGTACCTCTGTTCAAGACATTTTGGGTTCTCTAGAGCAGCTGCGCCATTTTCCCTTGCCACCCCAGTGCACCAGGCTTTCACCTTCTCCACATTCGAAGCAGGGCTGACCTTTGGTTGTTTCTTTTTTTTTTTAATATTTATTTTTTAGTTGTAGTTGGACACAATACCTTTATTTTATTTATTTTTATGAGGTGCTGAAGATCAAACCCAGGACCTCGCGCGTGCCACACCCCAGCCGCCTTCTGTTGTTTCTTATGGTAGCCGTCCTAAGGAGTGAGGTGGTACCTTGTGGTATGTACACATCTCCACATGGTTTATTGGCTTTCTATAATCTTTGAAGAAACACCCATTTTTAAAATAGGACTATTGGTTGTTGATTTGTAGGAGTTCTCTATACATTCTGAACCTTAACCATTTATCAGATAAGTGATCTGCCGATATTTTCTTATTCTACAGGTGGCCTTTTCATTCTGCAGTCTTTTGACGCAGAGAAGTTTTTACTTTGATGTATTTATCTGTTATTTCTTTTGTTGCCTGTGCTTATGTTGTTGCACCCATGAACTTAGTGCCAAATCTAATGTCATGAGACATTTCCCCTGTGTATTTTTCTTTTTTTTTTGGGGGGGGGGGGGTGGTGGTGCTAGGGATTGAAAACCCAGGGTCTTGTGCATGCAAGGCAAGCACTCTACCAACTGAGCTGTATCCCCAGCCCCCTTTCTTTCTTTCTTTTGCTGGATATTGAACGCACGGCCTCATGCATGTCAGGCAAGGGTTCTTCCACAGAGCCACATCTTCAGCCCCCACCCATATCTTTTTCCTAAATGACATTTAGGGCTTTGATCCATTTGGGGTTCATTTTTGTATATGGTGTAACACAGGATGTAGCTTCCTTCTTCTGCACATGGATAGCACCATTCCCCAAAATCATTTGACCATAAAATATCAGCATTTATTTCTGAACTCTGTTCCATTCCATTGGTCTATCTGTCTATTTTTATGCCAGTACCATCCTATTTTTTGTTACTGTAACATTATGATAAGTTTGAAATCAGGATGTTATGGTTTAGATCTCCAGTCTTGTTCCTTTCCTGTTTTTCAAGATTGTTTTGGCTATTTGGGGTCCCTTGAGATATTCTATGAATTTAACGGTGGATTTTTCTATTTTTACAACAACAACAACAACAAAATCACTGGGATTTTGATGTGGATTGCACCAATTTTATAGATTGCTTTTGGTACTACTGACCTCTTAATGACAGGCTTCCAATCCATGAACATGGGATGCATTTCCATTTATTTGTGTCTTCTTTCATTTTTTTCAGTGACATTTTGTACTTTTCTGTGTACTTTCTCTGTCCTTGGGGTCCGGGCCTGCTCTCTCTCTCACCCAGTTCTCTCTTGGGTCAACTAGTTGCTTCCTAAACCTGTTTCAGTTCATCCTCCAAGTCTCTGCTTAAAAAGTCATATCTGAAAAGGTGAGACAGCCTCACCCTAAGGCCCAGGGACTCTGCTGCAGAGCTGGCATGGCCTCCGGACCTGGCAGACGAGCACACACTGGTGAGCTGGCCCAGCTTCCATGCTCACCACTTCTGGTGACCTTGATTTAGTGGCTCTCAGCCATGACTGCATGTTGGGATCGGCTGGGGAGCTTGGGTCCTCCTGTAGAAGTGAAGTTGGTTAGTTTCTAGCTCATCAACGGCATTCATCCAGGCTCTGTCTGGTGGACAGTCACCAGGTTCCCACGGGGATTCTCTGGGTCAGCCATGGGCAGGTGCCCTAAAGGCTCCAATCCAGGCACCACAGATTTTCTGACCTCCACAGGCTTACTTCCAAAGTGCTCTGCACCTGAGTCCTCCTTGCACAACAGCCCAGGCAGAATGTTTGTGAGTTTCCAAACGTGGTGGTGTGTCCATGGGCATTTTTTGCTGGAAAACCATCTCAACTCCTCATCTAAGGGCACTCCCCAGGGACCATCCACTCCTGCCCAGGGAGCTGGCCCACTCCACTCCAGCTGCTCAGGGACAATCCCATCTCATGCTCCGCCCTAGCAGGAGCCTGGCACATAGCAATTGGGTGAATGGCCCTGCCACTGCTGCTCTCCGAACACTCCAGCCCTGTCCCTCCTCTGGGCTTGGCTCCTGCTCCTCCTGCCCCACCCTCACCCCCAAATTCTGGTCCAGAGCGCACTCCTATGTGCCAAAGTCCAATTCACATATCATCTCTGACTAGACCCACCCTCAGGCAGAACTCATTCCTCTCCCATCTGGGTCCCAGTGCCTTGGGCTTGCCCTGTTGCAGGGCACCCAGCCTTGAGGATCAGCACCTATCAGTGTTATGGTTTAGATGTGAGGTGTCCCCCAAAAGTTCATGTGGGAGACAGCGCAAGACGGTTCAGAAGGAAAAATGATTGGGTTGTGAGTCTTAACCCAATCAGTGAATTCATCCCCTGACAGGTAACTGAAGTGGTGGGGTGTGGTGGGAATTAGAGCGGGGCTTTGGGTATATATTTGCATCTGAAGAATGCAGTCTCTCTGTTCCCTGATAGCTCTGATGTGAGCTGCTTCCCTTTGTCACCCTCTCCCACCATGAAGTTCATCCTCACCTGGAACCCTGGGGAACGGAGCCGGCCTTCTGTAGACTAAGACCTCTGAAATCCTGAGCCCACAAATAAACCTTTCCTCATCTACAATTGTGCTTGTTGGGTCTTTAAGTCACAGCAGAGAGAAAGCGACTAAAACACTCAGTTTTAGTGTTTCTCTCCAGGAGCCTCCACTCCAGCTGGCTGGGTGGTGAGGGGGAGCTGCTGGGTCTCTAATCTGGGGCTCGATGAGCACATTCCTCTCTGGGTTCAGTCACCACCATCCCTGCCGTTTGCTCAGTGGTGGCATTCAAAGGCTCAAGACTTTCTACGAATACCTGTTCCTCACCCAAATGGACAATGACCCCAAGAGGCACGATGTTCCAGCCACCGGGGCCAGGGGTCAGTGACTCATGGCAAGATGACCTGGAAAGAGCCGAGCCCAGGAAGCCCTCACCTCGGGCACCTGTGGGAGCTGCCACAGGTGCCACACAGCCATTGCTGACCAGAGCAAACTTATGAAAGCCTCAGATGGAGTGGCCACTGTGGGGGCCTGCTCCTGGGCTCTGCGCCAACCTGCTCGGTCAAGCGGCCTGGCAGGAGTCTCCTAACAGGCAGTGACCAACTTTGCTGGACGCGCCCCCGCTCGTCTCCCAGTGCTCACCAAGACGCACGCACACCTCGGAGGCTGGTGTGGGATGTGCTCTCCCTGCACAAGGGGGCAGCAAGCCCACTAGCCCGTGGAATGAGCAGGCCCTGGCCTCTCTGCCAGTCTGTGTTCTGGAAGGCCCAGCTCCC